GGTCTAATTATGAAAATTAAAATGTTTAGGGCCAATAAGGTAAAATTAGAAAATATTTTATAATTAATTTGAATAATACATAAACTTTAGGGATGGTGAAAGAGTTAAAATTAAATAGGGGACTAACTTACACTTTTAGCAAAACTTGGGGATTTAAAAAGTGAATTTCATTATTTAATATCCAACCCCCATCTCCAATTCAACATTCACGTACAGAGAGTGGTCCGGTTTCAATTCAAGCAAGAGTCCAAATTGGGTTTTCCATTTTTGATGATTTTCAACAAAAATCGAGGATTTAAGAATGAATTCTCCATATTTATACAAAACATCCCACTACCAAAAATCCAATTTCACGTGCAGAAGGTCCCAGTTCGAATTTCAAATGGTTCCAAAATGGGTTTTTACATATTAATGGTTTTCAATCAAAATCGAGGTCGGAGAAGGAAGTCCAAAAGCAAAAGCAAGCTATGGAGAGCAAGAATCCAATTTTCAGGTTACTATAAAACTCAATTTACTGCATTAACTCGAAAATTCCGTTTTCTTCTTTTTCCATTCATGAATACGTAGAGAGGATTTAGAGATTATGTATTTTCTTGAAACTGAAAATTAATTTAGAAGAAATTACCTGCACTGATTTGTCGAGAACGAGTTTTGGGTTCGGAGTTCACAGCTTGAATATGGAAGAAACTGGTATAGTGTTAATGGATTAGGCGATGATGATGATGAAATCAACTAAAAATAATTGTTGAAACGTGAAGGGATTTACCAGTTGAATGTCAAGCTTTCTGAGGAGTTTTTGCAGCCGGGAGTGGATTTTGGAGAGGTATAATGAATGTTTTTAGGTTTTTATACAATTGAGGCATACAAACCTAGGCTCTATAATTTGGACACTTGATTGGACTGTTAATGGACTTGAACTTGGGCCAAATAAGAATATTGGACCAAGAGGAAATTTTAAAATAGATGTCGGTGTAAAATTCAGCCCGATAAGAAAATATGGAATTTTAAGATTAAAAAATCATTTTTGAATTATTATATTAAATGTTTTGCTAGACGACCCGACAGACATAAAATAATTTCTAAAATTTGGTGGAGAAGTCATAGCGACACAACTTAAATTATAAGATTTACATTTGAAAATTCGGGCTGTTACATATTAACTAATAAATCAGAAAACCAAAAATACATAAAATAAAAACCAAAACAACCCATTCACACCATCTTCCCCACCCCAACCCCATGTCAACTCCTTACCCCAAAATCGATGTCATCCACCTGACAACGCCTCCACCATCACCACTGCCTCCTCCACGATGTCAACACCACAATCACCTCTAAGGCGACACCACCCAAATTTTGCTATCCACTTTACCAACTGAACCATTTTCGCCTCACTCAAATTTCTATCCCAAAATCCAACCCAAAACATTTTGGGCTAGAACTATACACTGTATTTTCCATCTCCACTACATGTAACTTATTGATTTTCCACCGTCGAAACCACACACCCTCCCATATCCCAGTTCTCCGTCTTGTCGACAACGTCTCATCACGCCAGTCCATTCGCCACTAACACCACCACCTACTGAACACTAACACAACCATCATTACTACTATCACAACAAGAACCCACTAACACCACCTACTGAACCACCATAGCAAGAACCTAAACTAATTCACCAGAAATCAACAAAATGAGTCCTAGAAAGATACGAACATAAATCAACTAATTCATGCATTTGTTTCATTTGTCTTGCCAGTCACAAACACAATCAATCCACCACTATTTTGTTCGTTGTTCAATGTTGCTAGGCCTTACTGTTGATGATTTGAGTCTCAATTGAAAAATTCTAGATCTAGGATGGTGATAGTGGTATTTGTTTTGATTTTTCTCATTTAATAATTATTATATTATATTGTGTTTTATATTAAAAATGTGAAATGACCATTTTATCATTTTAAATCTAATCAAAATTATGGTCAAGATCAATTATCTGGTCAATTAACGGTCAAATCAACAGTTTCCATCCATTTGAATTCCAACTGCGAATTTTTGAAAGATTTGGTACACAGTGTGGTACAAATAAAAGGTTTAAACAAAATCTGCAACTAAATAAAACGTTTGGCATCATAGCTGCAATTTTCCCTTTCTTTTATTTTTTGTTTAGGACATTTCGAACTCAAACTAAAAACCTTGCCCATGAAGTAAATTATCCATAGGTCACGGGGGCAAGACGGAGATGGGATCGTTGCTCAGAGATGGGGGTGGGCTAGGTAAGGAGAACATGGTTCCCATCCGGTTTAAAGTTCATCTCAAAGATGAGTTTTTTATCACATAAAAAGGGAAAAAAAGAAAAAAAGCATCATCTTTAGAAAAGGAAGTTCATTTCAAAGATGAGTTTTTTATCACATAAAAAGGGAAAAAAAGAAAAAAAGCATCATCTTTAGAAAAGGAAACGTATTTTTCTACAATTTAAATTAAAAAAAAAAAGTAATGATTTTTACCAACCAAGAATCATCATCATTGAAATACACTATAGTGAGTATTTCAAAATGTGTGGATTATAAGTAGAAGTAAGTAGATTGGAAAGTATTGATAAAATTAGAGTTCGGTCAACTTATAATTTTGCCAAAAGATGCACTTAACTACCAATAAGCAAATCCTAGCAACTTATAAGCTATTTTGACCCAACAAAAATATCAATTTTCAGAAGGGCCTTGCGTACCTGACAGGTAACACACAATAGGGGGGGTGGGTGGGGAGTTTTGGCAAATTTTAAATCACATGGCGGGCCCACCCCATGTGAGAGAAAGTTTGAATTCATACTATACATGGAGCATTTTTCTTTTCAGAAAGTACTTTGTGAGGATGGGTTTTATAAGTTGGGGTGGGGGAGTGGACTTCACATCCAGTCTCTGCTGTAAACTGAAGCCTACACAGATAGTGTAGTAATGGCGGACTCGAAGGTGGAGACTATTTCAAGACTGGCTCAATGGAAGATCGAGAATTTTGGGCCAACCACCACTTACAGAAGATCCGAGCCGTTCAAAATCGGCATTTGGAACTGGTATATGTGTAATATGCGTGTATTATCACTATGATGGTGATGATGATGATGAATTTTGAAGTGTTTTTTGTGATATGCTAGGCAATTATCAGTGGAGAAGAATCGGTACATGTACATAAGGCTTTTCCCGGAGCCGTCGCGGCTGTCGAAGGAGCAGCCGCCGTTGACGCGGTTCGTCTTACGGGTCACCACCTCCGGTTCCAATCGAAGACCGTATATATCTCCGAGTATGTATAATTAATGATTATTTTACTGCTCCTGTTGTTATTACTGTCTATTTGTGCTCAATAATGAAAAAAAATTACTTTTCTTAAAAGTAACAATTAGTTATTCCTAACTTTCACAAATAAAGAAAATTACGTACCGTAAAACAAACTTAGAAGTGAACTTAAAGATTAGGCAAACATTTATGCTTATTTCTGTTCATCCAAATAGGGTTCATGTTTCAGAGTCAAACTGATTGTTCTCTGCACCAACATATATAAGGAATTTTTTGAAACGCCTACAATGTGCAAACTGAAACATAGCCTAAGGTTTTAATTCTTTTATTTAAATATCTTCATTATTTGTCAAAATTGACACTAAGTTAAACAACCCCATTTTTGACAAATCAACACGGTTGGAGTTTGGGTGCCTCTTGCAGGGGCTGCCCGGGGGTGGGGGTGGGGGGTGGGGAAGAAGATGGGTGAATGGTATTTTGGAAAAATATAAGGTTGGTTATTAACAATTTGAATAAGTTTGGCCATTTCTTATTAGGTATACTAACTTTGTCTTTTCAAGTAAGTACATCTATATAATAAATAGCATATGAACAATTGCAAGTTACTAAGTTTCATCTTATTCAGGTAATGTATTTTTAACACATTGAATAAATTGTTTTTGACTTTAAAAGTGAAGATAAGTAGATAACATTGCCTGGATAACGAACTATGTATAATGCCACTGTGCATCTGTAGTGTATGTGGATACAAATAACAGGGTTACACATGATTCAGTTAGCTGCTTATTTCTTCTGCTGTAGGATGCTAAACGTACTTGATCTGGTAAATCAACTATACACACTTAATTAAAATGACTTAGCATTACGAAAAATTTAAAAGTACAATCCATCATTAATTGTAACTTTTAAACTTAGAAAGCTGTTGTCTTGTTCTTATTCTCATGTCCAATGTACAAATTTTCAACCTTTTTTTTCATATTTATTACTGGTCAATGGTGTGTAATTCACTTTACCGAACATGCTAAAAATATATAAATTTAAGGTGATAGATATTTGCATTATCTTGCTGTTATACATGAAAATCATCTAGCAATTCATGTAGCCTTTTGCTGTAGTTCATGAGAGGCTACTTCGAACGAGTGATGACTTCGCCTGGCCTGTTGACTCTACATTTCATGGTCGATTCGTCATTGACGTGGAGTTCCTGGACCTGAAGATCTACCCTCTAAATGTGAGTTTTTCTTAAATTTTCTTATAAGTTAGAACTTAAATAGCATATTAATTTTATGTTGTGCTCTACCCTTTGGTGGGTGGATTTTTTTATTTTTTATGTTGTGCTCTACATAATATTTATCATTTTCAAGTAATGTGCAAATGAATTGCAGCCTAGGGTGCTTTGCGTCTAAGCTGCCTTCTTCAACTGAAGACCGATTTGTAGGTCATTTTAGATTTTACAAAAAGTCTAAAAGAAAGAGTGAACATCACTAAGGATCCGTTTGATTGTAAGAGTGGAATTTGGGTGGAAAAAAAATGAATTCTAGAGAATTGAATTGCCTAGAATTGTATTCTTGAGAATTGTCAATTAATTGTGTTTGATTGGTATAATTTTCCACGTGAAATATTTAAATTTTGGATCTTTTGGTGTTCGTTTGGTTTTTTTTTTTTATGGAAATTGTCCATTAAAAGGAATTTTTTTTTTACAATTGGTGAAAAAATTTGTGTCCATTGCCATAGAAAAAAAAAAAAAAACCTGGAATGGTTTCCTTCATTTCCTTCAATTGGTGCACGTGTGAGGGTGGGTGGAATTAGTTTTCCATGGCAAACAAAACCCATCAAACAACCATTTCCATGGAAAAAAAAGGGCTATCAAACATAGCGTAAGGCAATGTTTGTTGCACAATATTGATAAGATTAGACAATACAACGAAAAAAATATTTCTTTTTCTTCCTTCACACTATCTAGTAATATCTAGTCTATCTTAGTAAATATGTTAAAATAGTTCTCTTTGAGATGCATATCCGTCTATTCTTAAAAAACAGTTCTTACTCTTAAACTTAAGGGTGGAGAAGGCAGTTCAATATGGCCGAGTGATGGTATGATGCAATATCTAGGAACTCAAAGCACTCTCAAATGCCTCTCTCGCATGCTTGACGAGTCTATTCATGCTGATGTCACCATTAACACGGCTGATGGAACGCTACAAGCCCACAAGGCAATTCTTTCTGCAAGCTCTCCTGTGTTCCACAGCATGTTCTTGCACGACCTCAAGGAGAAAGAATCCTCGACAATTGACATAGAAGATATGTCGACAGAGTCGTGCATGGCCCTTCTCAGTTCCTTGTATGGAACTATAAAACAAGAAGATTTCTGGAAGCACCGATTAGCATTGCTGGGTGCTGCAAACGAGTACAACATTGTAGACTTGAAGGAAGCTTGTGAGGAAAGTCTTCTAGAAGATATCAACTCGGGAAATGTCCTTGAGAGGTTGCAAGAGGCTTGGCTTTACCAGCTCGACAAACTGAAACGAGGATGCTTGATGTACTTGTTCGATTTTGGGAAGATTTATGATGTTCGAGATGAAATGAGTGATTTCCTCAGACAGGCAGACAGAGAACTAATGGTCGAGATGTTTCACGAAGTGCTCACAGTTTGGAAACCAGCATGAATCACCGAACCAAGGGTTTGTCCTTGTATAACCAATGTATATTATAGATAAATATGTAGTACTGATGTACTAGAGTTAAGAGTTGTGTTAAATGTACGTTATTGAGTACGCTTGTGGTATAATATGAAAACTCGGGTTATGTAAAAGAATATTTACGCAAATACATAATGTTGAATTGAGCTCGTTAAATGAAGTGCCATTTCTTTACATGAATAAACACTGAACACAGAAGATGCCCAGTCTCAGTTATCAGATTCAAACCTTGAGCTACAATGTCATACATTTTGGTGATCGGGTAAAGGACGAAAATGACCCTTGCGCCTTCAGCAAGGATAACAGGGGAACTAAGGAGGGGCAGGAGGTGGCTTTATTTCAAAACTGTACACAAAAAATGACAAAAAAATAGGTGTACAGTCCTCTTTTTACAAGGGGTGTGTGGAGAACATATTTCTTCGACTTGGGTCGATCGAAGTTCTCCAGAATCTCCAGTCATAACTTCCTAGACTAAGGAGTTCTGAATCACGGATCAGAAATGCAAAGGGGCTAATGTTGTGAGAAGGAGCAATAGAAGAACTAACAAGATGCGTGAGGAGCAATAGAAGAACTAACAAATCTACTCGTGAAACAATTTTTATGCTGATTTCTCGAAGGGTAATCTTTTTGATCCTTGCTCAACTGCATCTCTCCATAGCCTGTATCTCACTCCCAGCTTATCGTAGGACACTGGCCAATTCCAGACATTTGCGCCATTGAGCATGCGCTCCTGCTGGCCAAGAACAAGCCGTAGATCCTCGTTCAAAACCTGTTGATATGGATTTGACATCAAGAATTCGACTAGAAGATAAAGAGAATAGAAACACACAAGACGGAATTTATCGATCCAAGAGTAAATGGCATGATTTATATTGTCAAATGAGGAGAAAGTTCTTAATGACTAATGGATGCAAGATAGAAATTCCAATGACTTGACAATAAAGTAAGAGTTACTTGTAATATAAGCGAATTTTTTACTTAAACGTACAAAAACTTTACCTTTTCAGCAAAATGTCTCCACAGGTACTGAATGAAAGGAACGTGCTTCAATACAGGGGCAAAGTCGAGCGACATTCTGTACAATAGCCTAGTCTTCTGTCTTGACGAAGGTAAGCAAACATGGAGTTGGTGAAGATGTGTTGAACACTCTTTAGTATGTTGCCCTTCTAATTTCCCAGGTTTTGAGATTCCAATTGTTGATAATACCATACAAGGCGGTCTAAATTCCATATCTATTGGATAGGGATCCCAGTATCCTTGCAGACCGGACGCAGGAGTCAAAAATTTCACCAAGCTGAGGATTCAAATAAAAATATCAAATAATATGTAAGTTCTCTTTGTGTTGCAATAAGATGGGTTCATTTAATTTGGATTTTTGGCATTAAAATGATATCTATAGTAATTTTTTGATAAATTCTTGAGTCTAGCTGTATGTGAACATGAAAAAAAGCCTCCTAATGCACAAGTTTCCCCTTTATTTTAGCTTCTTGATCATGTGTAATAATAACTGGCATAATTTTGGACGGGAGTGAAAGTAAGAAATTGATTTTGGAGTTCGAACTCTGATGTTTTGTATGTACAAGACAAATAAGAAGAGAAGGTTGAGCTTGTGTTACACTTCGTCCACTCGACTAAAGACAAGTAATGCACTCCACCAAGGGTCAAGTGGCAACTCTTTCACTAGAATGGTAAAAGTGACATGTTTTGAACTAAATAAGAAAGATTACTTGGACAGAAAACTTAAAAGAAAGCCATTTTTCATCTTGAGCTTATAAAAAGGTCTTTCCCAAAATAATATGATGCTAGAAGTAAGTTTTTCTGTATGAAACTAAATTATATTTAGTGGTTGAGCAATGGTACTAAAAGTAATAGCTGGATCCAACCTGGGAACACTCCATCCCTTAGCAAATGTCGAAGTGTGAGTAAAGGGAGCATGTGCAAGATCCAAAAGGTTGTCCAGTAGTAGTCCATGTTCTACGGGAAGTTCCATCACGATCTGCATTGAGGGTGAGTCACTGTAATTCTGTGTTTTCTTGTTCGTTTGATATTTCTTTTTTCATTTATTTTCGCTCTCATATTAAGGATTAAGGTTTAACCATAACAAATAGTTTGACAAGATAATCGACTGCAGGTACATACCTCAGCATGTATTTGAAATCCTGGAGGAGGTAGTAAAGAAGGAAGGTTAGCTGTAGGCGGATCATCGCCTGGCCAAATCCATATCATTCCCTCCTGCTCAAGGCATGGTAATGCTCTGATTTTTACGTTAAGTAATCTAGTCGATGGCATTTTTTCACATTTTCCATCAGTCGAGTATTCCCATCCTGACATCAGTGATTTTTTATGTGAAAAGAATCAGTGTCATCGTATCAGCTATAAATAAATTATGTAAAACGTTAATTGATCTATCCATATCTAACCATGATAAGGACACTGGATGCGACCCTCATTTACTGAACCCAGATGAAGTGGGCAGGCCCGGTGAGCACAAGTATTTTGGACACATCCAGGTTTTCCATCCTTCCCACGAAAGATGACCCAAGGTTCCTCAAAGCAATCTATTGGAACCTGTGAAATTTTTTGAAGCTATTATCAATAAGAAAATAACAGAATAAAAGGGAAGAACAAAGCTCTAATGGTATGTTTGGTAAGGTAGACTGAATAGTCACGTCGGGATGAAGGTTAAATCTTTCCATTTTACTGTCAATGCATGGCGAACACACCCTAAAACTAAACTAGATTCCAGCCTGCCAAAGTGACATCTAGGATGTCCTAAGATTGGCATTTCAGTAGAATATAGTCCCAATAAACCATAATCTACGAGGAAAGAAAAAGAGAAGAAGCGAAAAGCAAGAAAGTAAATATGAACAAGTTGGAATTGTTCGGACCAAAACAGCCTGTGTCCGCAGACCACAGACAAAGAAAATAATCTATAGGCCAAGATACCAAGAGTGTTAAGATTTTTTCCCCTTTGGAAATCTGTGCAAACGTGACACCAGGTTGGGCTCATAATTCAGGTTTGCAAGATATCTTGACTAAGTGCATGTTGGGCAAACTTTAAAATTGAATATAAGCTGGTCAAACTCTATTTTTATTCAGACATTTTGGACCTACAACAAACTTATTATCCACACATTCCATAGGACACAACTTACAAGCACTAATACACAAAATATGTATCCAACTGCTGACTACTACTTTGTTTTGTGTATGAATGTAAGTAACCTATATGGTGCACATCAAAGAGCATAAAGAAGGAAGTACAAGTTTCTATCAAATACACTTGCCATGGTTCCATCCTTCAGATCTGCAGAAAAGGCAACAGGGTACCAAAAATTTTTCAAACGGGCATTGTAAGATTGGACAGGACCGGACACATTGAGGCTCCTTCTCGGCTGCCTGGTCTTGACAGTGTCAAGAGATTCTCTAGAAGTGCTCAGGGTAGGGGTTGACACGTTGGATTCCATCGTGGTTCTGTCTTGCAATAGCCTATCATTAACCAAAGTTTCCATGTAAGCTAGCTTGTCCAAAGCAGTGCCAATCCTTGCTTCTGAAATATGTACCTGTACGAGTTTAGGAATCAGACATAGTTTGAACTATGAAAGGGCCTTTATGGCATTAAGTGGATTGGTTATGCTACATGTACATAATTTTTTACCTAATCTTTTCCACCCCACTCACATTAGGAGGCGGGGATCACGAGCCACCATTTTTAAAAACACATGGGGCCCGCGCCCCATTTGAGGGGGAGGGTCACCATTCGGTCATCCCCCCCTCGGTACAAGGGGATAAACCCTAAGTGGATTATCGTGTTTTTAACAAAAAAGAACAACTAAGGGTGTGCATTCTCTGTACACCATGATGTGAAAGAAGATAATGGAGTGACATCAATTAGAGCCGAGACTTCCCAAAGAGATGTCTAATGGAACTGTTAGATATAGCTGATGCATGGAACAAGGCCGAGAAACTCGGGCAACCATTGAAATAATCTTCTGAGACAAAGATGACAAAAGCCACTTCGTCATGGTATTTATGGGCTAACAGGTCATACTTTGCCCAAGTATCTTACAAAGAGACTCTCAAGAGCCAAATTATTAAAGTAATGGCAAAATAAGGCTTTGACAGACATAGTTTTGACTCTTATGCCAAACAACTATAGATTCCTTACGAATCCATAGTTCTTCTAGCATTCAACTAGATCTTCTATATTGTATTTCTGGCCTCAAGCATGTGCTTAGGGCCTGCTTGGAAGAATTTTTAGAAATTAAAAGGTTCTTCTAAGACTCAGAATCTACTTTTGGACTTGTTTAGGTAATTTTCTAGCAGTATTTATTAGAAAATCTTTTAGAGAAAGCTGGCAAAAGGCGACTCCTCATGAAGCTTTTCTACAAAAAACAAAAGTCTTGCCATATGAGCCCTTAACAAGGAAAAAGCCCTTAATTGTCATTATATTAGTCTAATATAAAGAGCTAGTCCACAACCTACCTGATTATGAGCTACTGCCAGCTCTTCTTGCAACTCTGCGAGTTCCTTCTTCAGAGTACCAATCGATTTGAATTCACGGGCAAGAGGGTTCAATACTTCCACAACCTGTGTTAATATAAAACATGAAAACGTTGAAATTGAATGGAGTGTAGAGAATTAGAGAAACGGTTCTTCATCAACTGAATTGACATAGAAAAAGTACATCAAGATGCATCTGATCGACTTATAAGTTTATAACGAAGTAAAGCCTAATATAGTTGATCAACCTTTTCATGCAAAAGCATGATTGCAAGAACATCTTGCCGAGCCTTCCAATCACAGTACTGTATATCATATCTAGCCACTTCTAAAGCTTGATTCACGTCCAAGAACTTGCCTTTACATTGAGGAACTTTAGACCTCGGATCTTCTACTTCAAAAATGGTCGTCCATAGGTTTTTCCTGTCGACCAAATCGCCTTCCTCCCCAATGATAGCTGACACTGCAAAGCCTCCCCTGACACCCTGCGTCCAAAATGCACCTTGATTCAGCAAAGTATTAAATGCTGCATACTAATACAGCAATAGGATGTTTGATATGGTTAATTATACCACAGTCAAACAGGTTAAAGAGGAAAACAAAGTTGTCTGTTGTACTGAACGTCCCTTACAGATACATTGGCTATAGGTTCTGTGTAAATTTAAGGTCCAATACATAAATCATTTTTTCATCACTAGATCCTTCATTACAACTGACCATGTACAAATCAATTACAATTTGATTAATTGAAATTTAAGGAGACTGAACCTCTCTACACAGAGCTCGAAAACATTTAATCTTTTACTCATTTCCATCTGTGGATAAATCCAAAAATATATACTAATTGATGGAACATACAGAAATTGCCAAAACTTTTGTAGCACGTACCTGTGTATTTCATTAAAACTTAATTTCTATTAATCAAGGAAGTCTACAAACTATCAGATCAACTAAACTGGAAAAAGACAAATACCCTTCTAAATACACTGAATGAAAGGCAAGAATGCCGCTATTAAGTTCAAAATTTATTACAGAAAATTAACTTAATAATAATTACAGTTAAGCAGCATAAAATCCATATTAATTTAAGCAAGAAACGACTGGTGCATGTTTGGTACACACTACTCAGTGACTCAAATCTAAAAGTATAATAAACAAGATTTTAACTCATTTTTCTTCCCTGTCATCACAATCCAAACCAACCAACCAAACCTGCCACCACCAGTGTATTTCATCAAAAACCTACAAACTATATCAGATCAACTAAACCAGAAAAGAAAATTCCCTTCCGACTACACTAAATAAAGATCAAGATTTCCACGACTAAGTTTAAAAAATACAAAACATCAACCGAAATTCCTATAACCCCACAAAAAAATCACCTTTTTGGCGTTGAATTTTGATGAACGACACAGAGAGGTAGGAATAGAAAGCGCAGCAGCAGTAGCAATGGCGGACATGGCCGAAGAAGGGGTGTCGTTTTAAAATTGACAGAGACTCCGGGGAGAGAGAGAGAACGAAGAAGGGAGAGAAAGTTGTGAAACATTTTTGTGAGAGATTTTTGTTTTGTTGATAAGAGGTTGGTGTTGTGCGCAATCTGAGGTCGCCTCCCAAACGTTGCCATGTGTAAATTCTTGGAATTCCTGCGCTTAATTCGTGGCTGCTCTGGTTTACACATTTTGTCTTTGTTTTTTTTATCGTGTTTGTGACTTTTGTGGGTCCTTTCATATCTTCTGCGGCGCCACCTCGGATGGTCAAGATATCTTAGGCTAAGCCCAAAAGGTTAACTTGTAAGTAAAAACGAGATAAAAATTAATAAAATATGTGAATTAAAAAGTAGATTCGATGAAATATATGATTAAAATTAATTATTTATTTTAATATAGATTAAAATTTAGATTTTAATTCGTGCAAAACAAGAGCTAAATTTGTATCTATTAAAGTTAAGAATAAGTAAAAGAATTTATTATGCTAATGATGTCAGAATTTTTAAGTAGCTAAATCATATGGTAAACCGATTCTACTTTAACGACTTTTATAGAACTGACGTAATAAATAACACTATTTTGTGACACGTTGATATTTTATCGGTGTCATGTAAGATCTAATGTAATTTTTTTAATCAAATATTTAGAAATTTGAGTGAGTACTACCTTAAAAAAATAAATACAATATCATTAGCATAATTACTCAGAATTTTAGGGACAATTGACATGGTTAACCTACAGGTAAAATGTTTCGGGAAAAAAGTAGTATAAACATGTTTTGAGATAGAAATTTACATAAAATAATAAGGGCATGTTTGAGCCCCTTTTTTAGATAAAATGCATTTCGGAGTAATAGATTATTGGAGAATGAGCAGTTAAAAATGAAAGCAAAGTTTTTGTGTTATGTGTAATATTATTTTATTGAAAAATACATGGTTAAAAAAAAGATGGAGAGAAATATATTTTGAACAAAATGGGAGTCAAACAAGGTATAAGTTAGTCAAATACGTTGGCCAACTTGCCTACTTACATAGGCCACAAGAATATAAATGTATGTTTTAGTTCAAATTTTTAAGTCAAATTACATTTTAAGATGAAAAAAAATACAAACTATCAACCTTTAAAGACATGTTTTCGAACTTGACAAACTTGTGAGATTCTTTCAAAATTCAAGTGTTATTAATTTAAAATAAGTTAATGCCGCATTAAAATCCAATTTATAGTTACAGTTACATATTAGTGACAATCACATAATGCCACGTCACAAAGACAAAAAATATGAGTCACAATTAGTTACATATAACACATTTTTATAGATCACAACTTATTTATCAGACACGGATCATCAAATTAATTTATCACACATTATTTGTCTATCAAATTTAATTGTTAGGCCATATTTGGTACACATTATTTTTTTCATTCTCATTTTTATACTCATTTTCAATCACACATTCTTCAATAAAATAATATTTTCCATCACATCATTAACTTTTCCTTCATTTTTAACCACACATTCTCCATCAATCTACTATTCAATAATACATTCTTTCAAAAGAATGTATCCCAAACACATTATTAACAACTTATTTCTCGATCATAAATTAACAAAGTAATTGATCATAATTTATTTATCGATCACAAATTATTAAATTAATTAGTCATAATTATCCAAGTAACTGATCAAAAATTTCTTTCATCTCCCTCGCCTCACTCCATCTTGATGACACCACCTCTACATCCAACGAATCATAACCACCGCCACCACTGCCAACGAACCACCACATCCTCAAATCCACCATCACTATCACCTTTGCCTCTACCTCTACCACACCACACCCCACCCCACCACGCCAAACCACCACTTCCACCTCCATTGTAACTCTAACCAACCACGCATACACCACCATTGTACCTGCACAACTACCACACAACTTGTGATGCAGCGTCACCACCACCACCACTACCGTCACATGTACCCACCACGATCTCCTCAAGTACATCGTTTTATCCACCTCTGCCGCACAGCAACCACTGTTGACCTATGATTGATTATGACCTTAGAGTTTTGATTATAACAAACAAGTTAATCTTAATTACTAATAAATTCAATTCAAGTTATTATAGTTTTTCAAAGCGTGAGATGAAAAACTGATCGATGGTCATCAAAAGATCAAAAGCAATCATCACAAATCGGACCGATGAGTGCAGTTTCTACACTTATTAGAGACCATAAATCGTAATACATTATTATTTTTTGGATAAAATTCTACGTAATTTATGTTATATTGTATTTTGTTGGTAAAATTTTATGTTTAATGAGGAATTGGAGAAAAAAAATGCAAAATGTGACTAAAAATGGCAAAATCCAAAGATGAAAAATTGGAGAGAAATAGTACATTAAATGAGATGGAGTTAAATAGATTTCAATGGACTTGTATTGAAAATTTTAATTGAACCTCAATGTGGCTGAAATATATATAAATATGCATGCATACAGAGGAGATGAGAAATTGGCGACCGCTACGAGAAAAGAGGGAAAAAAAAAGAGAGAGAGGAAGTCAAGAAATGGTGGCTACACACACGTACGGATGCACGCATAGAAAAAGAGAGAAGATTGAAGTTTTTGTTTTGAAGTCAAAAATTACAACTGCAAACGAAGAGCTGTGGCTTACACACACACACACGCAGAGAGAGAGAGAGAGAGAGAATTTGAGTTTTTCTTTGAAGTGAAAACGGCGGCTGCTGAAGAATTTATATACAGAAGAAATTGGATTGTGCTGGAGAAAATATATACACGCACAGGCCGCTGCTGGGAAAAGAGTATATATATATATATATATAT